ATAGAGGCCTGGTTTTAATATCCATAATCCACGTGCTCATTATTTTACCGTATTAGATTTATGTCCTGTATCTTATTCCACCATCATCCAGCATACCATAGTTTCACAATCTGAATTTCTCCTCACCCAGACTACACTGAAAATCACTTGGGTACATGGTTTTCTATGAAGGCTAGTAACTTAAGTCACATTAGATTGATAAAGCATCTTACCATAAACCTGACAGATATCCAGAGATAGCACCACAAGAAGGATGTGCAGTACAATTCTATTCGCCCGCATGCCTGGAGAAGCCGTCATTTCATCGGCATGGTGGAGATGGGAGAGATTCCTCTGAGGTTAAAGAAGTGCAGTTTGTATAGACACCTATACCTCTCTGTGATTGCCCATGGTGTCTCTGAACTGATTCTCTTGACTGAACAGTTTAGACAGGGAAGGAGATTTGGGGGTGGGGAAAAGGGCGGGGAAGATTTCTGTAACATACTATGCAAAAATCTGACAGGTTACGTGGTGTTCTTTTATGTGGTTGTATCAGCATCCACCGCTTGCTTACTTTCAAAATCTCTGAGTTGCAAAACTTCTCATTTTCCCCTGAGTGCTTTTTCAGTGCAGTAAGTGGAACTACAGAATTAAAACTATAAGAAGAAAATCCTCGGTTAGTGCAACACTAAGGCTGAGATTTTAATCTTACAAACATCAGTAAATTCAAAGTGAACACCTGCACAGTAGTGTTTCTTCCCCCACACTTTTTCCAACCCTTTTGGATCGCTTCTTTATTCCATTTTATTTTCATAGTACATTTTAAAAAAACCCTACATTAAAGGAACATTAAGGTGGTTCTTTGAGTAGTGTCCCTATGGGTGCTCCACTGTAGGTATGCTTGCATCAGGGGCACTAGAACATGGCTATGGCCCCATCACTTTTAAAAGTGGGAAAGGCGGTGCGGGGGCAGGGAATTGCGGAGAAGGAGCGGGGGGATGAGGGCGGGGGGACAGGGCCACAGCTCAGGTTCCAGTGGCCCCCCACACACACACTTTTAGGGAGCTTCCGCCACTTCTGGCTTGCGTCCTTGCGCTACTGAACTGAGAACTTTGGTAGCAGTGGCCTTTAGGCCACACATGCGCTATGCCTCCTTGGGCCATGCCATGAGGCTAGCCAGCATGCATGGGCAAGGCCCCCTGCCCCTTAATTCCTTCTCTACCACAGAGTCATTGACAAGAACTCTGAAGCAGAGGGGAGGAGGGTGGGTTGTGGAGCACTCGTAGGGACACACATCTTGAAGAACTATTGTTACTGCAAAAGGTGAGTAACTTCTTGCAAAGTCAAGCATTCAGTTTAGGAAATGACAGAATTAAGGTTGCCTGTGCAACTTCAGTTTGGCTCCCTTGTACATATGCATAATGATACAGTCTATAATCACATGAGCACATGCTACCATTTTCCCCCAAGGACCTCCTTCCATCAGCTCCTGTATATGCCCACAGTCCCTTCCCCCATCCCATGCTGTTCGTATCCATCAGCCACTTCCCACTAGCTTCCATTCCCTCTACATCTGCTTCCCCTCAAAATTCTGGCTCCTGTTCTGCCTCCCTCTTCTCTCCTCACTACCCTCTGGGTCTTGCAACCTACTCTCCCCATCTGCTTTCCAGTCAGACAGGTTTACCTCCTCGCTGCCTGAATACCAGCAGGGGGTCCATTGAAAGCACAGAAAAGATAGTCCCCCTGCTCTCACTTCCAACAGCCAGAGGCCCCCAGAACACAGAAACATCAGTTATATACATCAGCCCCTGAGATGGAATGTATTCACTTGTTCTGTGAAGATGAAATAGGCATTGTCCAGTCACACGTCGGAGCTGTGAAGGGATGGAGCATGAACATAAGAATCACAAACGTTAACATCCAAGGTCCATCTAGTCCAATAACTTGTCTCTGACAGTGGCTAGAACCAGAAGATTCAGAGAAAGGTGTAAGACCCCTGCAGTATCAGATATGGGATAATCTGCCTGCCCCACATAGGCTCATCCTGGTCTCTGATAATTAGAGATTACTTTAAACCCTGAGGCATGGGGTTTAAAATCCCTTCCAAACATTCATTGACATTTAATTATAACAACTCCACAGATTCTTAATATCCATATAAATATTCAATCTCTTTTTGACTCTTGCTCAATTCTTGGCCACAATGACTTCCTGTAGCAAGGAGTTCCACCATTTAATCACACATGTGAGAAAGTATTTCCTTTTTATCTGTTTTGAATTTCCCTTCTTTTACTTCCACTGTATTCCCACTGTTCTTGTGTTATGACACCAGGAGAACAGATGTTCCCTGTCTAATGTCTCTAGACCATTCATTATTTTATATATTTTTAGTATGTCCCCTCTTATTCATTTCCTTTCTAAGGTGAACACTCAATATTTTCAATCTCTCTTCAGAAAAGTTTTTTTCCAGGCCCTTGATCATTTGTGTCTCTTTTCTCTAAACTCCCTCCAGTTCTGCAATATTTTTTTGGAGATAGGGTGATCAGTGTTGCACACAGTTTCCAGATGAGGCAGCACCACTGGTTTATATAAAGGCATTCTACTATTTCTGATAATATCCTTCATTCCATTTCTTATGCATTGAAACATCTTGTTTGCTTTTTTGACCGGAGCTGTGCATTGAGTAGAGGTTTTCATTGAGCTATCTACAGTGATGCCCTAGTCCCTTTCTTGGGTTGACACAGGTACTTTAGAACTTTGTAAGGCATATTAGTGGTTTAATTTTTTCTCTCCAATGTGCTTTACTTTGCATTTATCAACCTTAAATTTCCTCATGCTCGGTAAAAATGGAATCTTCAGAGAATTTAGCTGCCAAATTCTGACAAGATTCGGAGTGTGAACAGCAATTTCTTAGTGGCTTATAAATTGGCCCAGATTGGGTGAATTTTCACAGAGATGGCCAAAAGCATATTCCTGGCACCAGACCCTGCCCACAGATGCACCAAATTCAAGACATTGCTTCAAAGCATGGGGGTGCATGAGCTCCTCAACTAAACAATTGTAAGAATTTTTTTAACATGGGTAAAACAACTTATTTTTTTCTAACCTCAGTCTCAAAACCAACAGAACTATTTTAGCTGAAACTTCTCAAAAAAAAAAAAAAAAATCAACCTGAGACAGATTCCCGGCATGAAAATTTCAGCCCAAACAGTTAAAGTTTTAGCATGGTTACAAGCAACTAAACAAACAGGGTCTTATAAGGGAAATTGTAAGGCAACTTTATCTATAAGCAGTACTGCCAGCTCTGCATATAATACATTTATCAGCATGAAAAGACTGCTTTTTGTAGATGATGCACTAATGAAGATCTAAATCCAGAAAGGTGTTTCAAGGCAATCTTTCAGTGATGAAAAAAATAGCATAAAAGAGTTAGGAATAATACTAATCAAATATTTTAAAAGCAGTTTGCAAAATGTTCATGAAAAAAGTGCTTAGCTTAGTTTATTATGATTTATTGATCCATGTAATTTGTTGTTCATGTACATTTGAGGAATGTCCTGAAATATGGAATCTCAGTCCATCCTAAACAGGACCCATTTATTACCACAGACTATGGACACACACGGCAGACTTCCACTTAGCTTAAATACTAGTTTTGTCTCTTGTCTACCAGTGACAGGATCCAATCTAGAATTCTGTGGCTCACAGAGACATCTAGTGACTGAATAATATACTGCAATTGCACATTATTACATGGGACAGAAAGATGTTAAGGAAAATGATCATGATCATGAAAATTCTAGGCATTTTAGTGTTAATGATTATTTATACTAGAAGTGTAATATTTGCTGTTCTTGTTTTATCATTGTTTTTCCTACTAAAGTTTAAGTTATCTAATTAGGGAGGAGAAATAATATAACTGAATGGTGTAGTGAATAACAACATCATTCAAATAGTGACTAGCCTGAAGTGAACAGTTGGCAAGCAACTCACAGCCTTAAAATTATTTGTCCAAACAATTCAGCAAGTAAAAGGGCAAAGCCTTTTGGGGCAGTTTTTGGACCTCATGAGTTCTTGACATTTGTATGATACGTTTTAGACAGGGTTTGACACCTTCTTTACCACTGAGCTATGTTTGGACCCTTTGAGCGCTATTGGGGGCTTGCTTTACCCCATTTGAAAACAAAAAATCATTTTGGACCATTTCCTCATATTTTTATACAACAATTAAACCCTTTGGGGCATTTCTGAGCACTTCTTGGACCTTTTCAAACACTTTTGGTAGCTCTTAGGCATTGTACTCATACTCTGGGTACCTTTTTGGCTTGCTTTAGCTCACTTTTTTATGCTGTTTCAATGGTTTGGGGAACTTCTTTGGATGATTTTTTTTTCATGTTTAACCTTTAAGTAACTTGAGGAATGTTCTGCTATTAGGGGCATTTTGAAGGGGGGTTGGAGCTAGATTTGAGTTTGGTGTTTGGAGACTGATTGAGGCTCTGTTTTTAATTTTTTTAGGGAACAGTGGGAGTCTCTTTTTATTTGTGCTGTTTAGGGGTGGTCTTCCAGGCTATTTTTGAAGTTTTTAGTGACTAGCATTTGGTCTTTTTGAACATCATCTGGACCCATGGAAAAGAAGCCCTCGAAGAATTCCACCATGATTTTAACAATTTCCATCCCACCATCAACCTCAGCCTAGACCAATCCACACAAGCAGTCCATTTCCTAGACACTACTGTGCTAATAAGCGATGGTCACATAAACACCACCCTATATGGGAAACCTACTGACCGCTATACTTACCTACATGCCTCCAGCTTCCATCCAGGACACACCACACGATCCATTGTCTACAGCCAAGCTCTAAGATACAAACACATTTGCTCCAATCCCTCAGACAGAGACAAACACCTACAAGGTCTCTATCAAGCATTCTTAAAACTACAATACCCACCTGCTGAAGTGAAAAAACAGATTGACAGAGCCAGAAGAGTACCCAGAAGTCACCTACTACAGGACAGGCCCAACAAAGAAAATAACAGAACGCCACTAGCCGTCACCTTCAGCCCCCAACTAAAACCTCTCCAGTGCATCATCAAAGATATACAACCTATCCTGAAGGACGATCCATCACTCTCACAGATCTTGGGAGACAGATCTGTCCTCGCTTACAGACAACCCCCCAACCTGAAGCAAATACTCACCAGCAACCACACACCACTGAACAAAAACACTGACCCAGGAACCTATCCTTGCAACAAAGCCCGATGCCAACTCTGTCCACCTATCTATTCAAGTGACACCATCATAGGACCTAATCACAT